CGTGCGATTAATGAGGAAAAGGTGGGTGCGTGGGCGATAGAATCGGATCTAGATTAACTATGCCTGGACTCAAGGGAAACTTCCCGATTTTGTCGCCTAACCATTTTGTCCTTTCCCTGCATAAATACAAAATGAGTCTCGCCCCTCCCCTCCTTACCTTGCCCGTATTTGCCTTTTCTGCCTTCGAGCCGTTGCCAAGAACAGAGAGCACCGAGGAGAAGAAGGGAGAAGGGCAAGGGAGAGAGCAAGAGCGAGAGAGAGAGAGAGAGAGACTTATCGCCGTACCAGCATTCCCCCCCCCCTGCAATGGCTGGCGACCCTATCATCCTCCTGGCGGATCCTTGGGAGCCATTCGACGTGTCCGTGGAGACGCTGCAGTCTCTTGTCGACGACGGCCTTCTCCGCCCGATCACCGACCCCAATAGGCTGGAGTGGATTGCTCCGTTGGGCGACCCAGAGCCGAGGCCACCAGTGGGGTACATCGTGAGCTTTGTGTCCTTCCACGAGCGTGGTCTCGGCTTACCGGTAGACCAATTCATGCGAGCGCTCCCACATTACTACAGGGTGGAGCTGCATAACTTCAACCCCAACTCCATCGCACAGGCAGCCATCTTTGTCGCCGTCTGCGAGGGGTACTTGGGCATTGCCCCCATTGGGAGCTGTGGCTCCATCTCTTCCGGGCGGGGCATACCACCAAGTCGACAGGCACGGCGGGTAAAAGGAAGACGACGAGGGCCGGTGGCTGCACTCTCTAGGTGCGCCAAAGTCGGTAGCACCTTTACATCCCGGCCCAGCTCGCGTCATCCAATCGCCGCTGGTACACCAGCTGGTTCTACCTCCACAACGACGATGGCGGATTTCCCCCTATACTGGGTGGATCATGGAGGACTGTCCGGAGAAGTGGGGGTATGGCGTCCCGAAGGAGGATCAACCCAAGCTGCAGCCGCTCCTAGAGGGGCTAGAGAGGCTGCGGGGCCGCTGCCTTACGGCGGCTGCGGTCGTGGCGGCCTTCCATCGCCGAAGGGTGCTGCCGCTAATGGCTCAGCGGCGGCGCCTGTTCGACATGAGACCGAATGAGCCGATCGAGGGCATCCGGATGTCTGCTGCCGCCCTCTCCGACGAGGAAATTCTACGTCGGGTGAGGGAGACAGTGGAAGGAAAGCTAAAGAGCGCTGGTCTGACCCCCATCGTCATGCGCCCGTCGCAGGGGTATCTCTCCCTGGTAAGTCACGCGCCGCTGCAGCCCCTGAGGCCTCCTCGTTCCTCACTATTTTCCCTTTTCCTTACTTGCGTTCGCCGTTCCTGTAGGGGATGAGGGATGTGCGAGCCTCCCCGCCACCCGCTCCTAAGGACGCAAGGCGGCGGGCGGCGAACCGAGCACATGCCGAGGCGCAGAAGAAGAAGAAGGACGCCAAGGAGGCAAGGCGCAACAAGAAGATACTCGAGCGCGAAGCGCTGGAGAAACGCCGCCGGCGTCAAAAGCAGGACGGTCTCCCAGTGGAGTTGTCTCCGTCGCCGTCGCTATCGGAGGATTCTTTGGACAAAGATGACGAGATCGAGAGGGGGCGAGGTCCCCTGGACCATCTCCTCGATGTCGGGGAGACAGCGCTCGGGGTGTCGGTGAGCAGCCCGACATTTCCAGGGGGAGGAGGAGATGGCGCCCTGGGGTCGGCAATCTCTCACCCCGCGTTCGAAGCCGATACGCCTGAGGTACGGGCACAAGGGAAGCGTGCCGTCAGCCCGGTGGGCTCGTCGGCAGTGGTGGAGCAGGCGGCAGCGGGGGCGACACGACCGTCCCTACGGAGGGTCAAGGGGGCGCTGGAGTCCGGCGGAGACCGGCTGGCACTGGCGGATACCAGGGTCGTGCCTCCGCCACCGCCACCGCCGTTGCAAAGGAGAGTCGCGGTGCCGAAGCGGTTGCAACCCCGCTCGAGGTGAGTGTTTTTTCAGCGACGTTCGTATTGTCTCCTGCTCGCTTCATGGTCATATGCTGACCAAGTGGGTGTTTTGCTTTCAGTCGGAAGCGTCAGGTGGAGGTGCCTGCCTTAGCGCCACACAAGGCGCTAAAGGTGAGCACCAGCTCCACGGCCCACCGGGCAATGGAGGTGCAGGCCGCCGTGCAGCGTGGTGCGGTGTCGGCCGGGGCGGACCTGGGGGAGCTGGTTGCCCAAGAAGAGGCTCCCCAAGCGGCCACGGAGCACGTGGGCGAGGAGGAGCCCAGGTCCTTCGAGGCCAGGGCTCCTGAGGTCGAGGCGCCGAGCGCTGGGGCTCCCGGGGCCATCGAGGCCAAAGTGGTGGAGGCGAGCGCAGCGGACCCGGTGACCCGGGATACGGAGATGGAGGCGGCTAAGGCTTTGGTGCCATCGCAGGAGAGCGCCCGGTAGGTGGAGGTTCAGGCGACCACTTCTGACGAAACTTCCTGGGGGAAGGAGGCGGCAGATGTCGAGGCGGCCAGCACCGCCGAGCAGCCAGTTGCGGCTTCTGGTGAGGGAAACTCGGCCCTCGTGCGGGTATGACCCGAGCCCCGTGGGTGGAATCACCCACGTGTATCGTGGCTGAGCTGAGATGACCCATAGGGGGAGCCTCTATTCGCCCTCGAGGATGTGGTCGAGGGGGAGGCGCTGGAGCTCCTTCGAGCAATATCACCGGCTGGCGGTGCAGTCGCTGCGAACGGCGCTGTCCGTCATGGACGACGATCTGCCCGGCGTCGCCCAGGTACACGTCTTCTTTTCTCGTGCGGTGTCGTCTTGTTCTGAGTCTTCTCGCAATGCATGACCCCTGTTCTGCCTATCCAGGAGCTCAAGGCCCGGCCCCTCGGGAAGTCATTGTTCCTCCGTCAAGAGAGGGACGTCTAGGGCCAGCTTGGGCAGCAGAAGGACCTGCTCGCCAACGCCAACAAGCTTCTGTCGGCACGGAGGTGGAGGACCTCCGCCTTCGCTGTGCAGATATGAAGGCCGAGGCGGCCACGGCTCAGGAGCAGGCCACCACTTTGGTGGCGCAGATCAAGGAGCTCGAGGAGGAGCTGACCCGGGTTGCCGGTGAACGGGACACCTTCAGGTCCCGTAATGAAGAGGCGACGGTCTTTGCCATAGCCGTCGCTGGGTAGTTAGGGGCGGAGCAGGGCGTGCATGCACTGACAAAGGGTGCCCTGGACAAGGCCCTCAAGATGGCCGAGACCTCCAGGGTCGATGCCTTGGCTTGGAAGATGAAGTGCGAGGGTGAGTCCCGTTCCCTTTGTCTTATTTGTTTTTCTTGCGTTCGGCCCCTAACTGCCCGATGTGGTACAGAGCTAGAGAAGGAAGCTTCCAGGGCAGCCGAGGCCTCGCGGGTCGAGGTCCAGCACTGGAAAGAGAGGGCCGAGGGTGAGTCCCGTTGGGCTTTGCCCCTGCCTGGCTTATTTTTCTTTTGCACTTGACCCCATCCTGCTTGTTTGGGCGTAGGGTTGGAGAAAGAGGCTTCTCGGGTGGCTGAGGCTTCAGCCGCAGTGCAGGCGGCGCTCGAGGCCGAGACCAGGGAGCATGACGCGCTGCAGAGCACAGCTCGTACCGTCTGCGAGGCCCTGGAGGTTGAGGGGGTCCAATCGGGTAGCTCTCTCAGGAGCCGCCTGACTGCGTTGAGTGGCCAAGTGTGGGAGCGACTTCGAGGGGCGTTGCATACGGGCGTCAAGCATGCCCAGGCCGTCGTCTCCTCGCACTACGCCGTCAACCTCAAGGCCGTCAGCGACGGTTACATCTTCCCTGATGATGACGAGGAGGCCGATGAGGAGGTCACGAAGCTGATGGAGGCGGCTGAGGCCCCCGGTACGACGCTGGCTAGCCTGTTCGAAGAAGATGTGGTTCCTTCCGCACCGGCCGCCGATGTACGAGGCCCTAAGCCTTGACCTGGGCCAAAGGGGGCCATGTAAACAAATTGAGTTATTGTCGTGTCATGACATTTGTGGCCGTCCGCTCTCCTACCTCCACTCCTCCCTCTCTCTGCCTTCCCTCCATTTCTCTCCCTTCCCTTCTCCCTTCCCTCCCGAAGCGGCGACGCCGCCTTGCCCCCCGCTCCTCTCGCTGGTCTCGCCGGCCCCCCCCCCGAGAGCCTCCACCTCGCCCACGGTGTGGGACACGGTCTGGGCGCCGAGGACCAAAGAAGGCCGCCGCCTCCACCGGATTTGGGAGCGCGGTGTCGCGTGGAAGCCCTCTTCCGCCTCGACCACCGGATCTGGGACGGCCGCCGCTTCCAAGGCCGACGCGTGCGAGCTCAGGCACCGCGCCGTGCGCCGGTTCGCCGAGGTCTACACCGCCGCGGGCGAGGACGACAAGGCCGCCGTCGACGTCGCCGTGAGGCACCTCTACGCGCCGCCATGTAGGAGCTCGTTGATCTCGACATCCAAAGGTACCACGACTCGCGGATCTGCCCTTGCTCGCTGCTCACTGCTTGCTCAAATCTTTTATTTGATTTTCTCGCCGGATCTCGCGCCGGAGCTCGCAGCTCGGTGGCTGGACGCAGGGAAGACGAAGATGGAGGAAACTGGCTTCTTTTGGGGTCGCTGTTGGAGAAGGGAGGATTTGGGTGCGTAACCTTTGCCTATACGTGATCCAAATGCATAGAATAGGTTTCGTGATTGTGTTTTCGCGTTGGAGACAGTCTACAGTCTGAGGAAGATTGAAGCACTCGGTGACGAAAGCAGGTGTCGAAACTTTCCAGCTTGAAGCAACCGGGCCCACAGCACAGGGCCAGGCCCCCACATCGCGACAGCAGGGCCCCACCTGAGAGGAGCAGTTGGGAGGTGTCCACGAACATAGCACCGCCACCGCACACGTCTCCCCAGGAGGACGCCCACATGCGATGCATCTGGCAGCAGTGGGACGCGCATCGGTGGAGGAGGGGCCCACAGCACGGCAGCAGGCACGCACCGCTGAGGGAATCTCCGAGAGCCGCCCCCGGCGACGCTCGCATCGATTAGCGCAGCATCGGCGATTTCGAGGGATTCATCGGCCGCATCGCTGTCGTCGTCATTCTCGTCGAGGAGGGCCTGGCGGCAGCACACCTTGTCGTGGTCGGAGAGGATGCAGTCGGGGCCCGAGGGCGAGGCCACCGGAGCTGCGCACCCGCCCGGTGCCGTCATACGCGCCCTGCATCTCACGTCGCCAGCCGCGGCGACCTCCGCACCTCCGGCCGCCTCCGAGCGCTGACCCCGCGTCTCCGGGCCCGCGCGGCCCTCGCCGTAAGCCCACCATGGTTGCAGCCACGGCAGGGAAAGAGGCGGAGAGGGGTGTCCCTGGGGTCGGCAACCTCCGGGCTCGCATGTGCCCAGTCAAGCAAAGCAGAGCACCGCGAGCATCAGCACCTCCTCCATCCTCCATTCTGTACACAGTGATCGCCATCTTGTTTTTGCTTTGCTGCGTGGAGCGAAAAGGAAGGGGAGGAGGGAGAGGGAAACACCGCCTTTATTTGGTAGGTGTTCTCTAAGGATCCATGGCATCCGACGCATAGGTGAATGAAGAGCAGTAGACACTGCAGGCACCATGGCAAAAGAACTAAGAACACCCAACTAAGAAACACAAGACGCCAACTTATAAACTTGGAAAGCAAATATGCACACTGGGAACCAGGACCGGCCCACACCTCCCTCTTGCTGCCGGCAAGACGCCGAAGGCGAAGAGGAAGGGGGCCGGAACAGGGAAGCTGGTGGGAGGTCAGAGGAGGAGGATGACCGGCATACGGCTACTGCTCACTACGGAGGCTCTCGTCGCCGTCCTTTTCAGTTGGTTGAGCGCCGTCATCTCTCCAGGGCCTTCTACTTGGCATGGGCCCGTTCACTGGGCTGAAACTGGCTGGTTACGAAAGAAAGAAATACTGTAGCGGCTGAAAGATACACCTTAATTTATGAGAGGAACCAGCTGACTGGTCTAAAAAAATTAGACCAATTGTTGATCACTGGCGTCATACAGTACTTCATTCATCATAAAATAAATACTTCTTTTATTTATAAAATAAATAAATACACTTTTAACATTCAAAATGTAACCCACAATAAGTGCGCTTTAGAACATAGATCACTAGCGCTACGCAAAAGGGCACGTAGCCTAATGGTCAGAGGAACATAAGTACCAGTTCTAGGTTTGACTTATCGTGAGATCGAATAATTCATGATTTAATGGAGATCTCAGAATATTTAAAGATTTAATGGTGTCGTGCTTTCAGTGGTAAGCGACGTTTTCATCATCAGCGAGACGTCTATGGTGACTTCGTTAATATCGATGATTTACTGACCCAGTCTTCAAAGATGCTCATAGTGGTAGGGTGTGTGCGTGCGTTATGAGTGTATAAGTTATGTGTTCATAGGGGTAAATGTGCGTGCATTGTAAGTGTCTGAGTTATACTGTATAATAAAAAAAATAAACCACCTTTTTTTTAAAGCAAACTACTTTTTTCCCTCTATTTTCACGTTTTGAAATACAATCATTACACGTTCTATCACTTTTGGGCCATGTTTAGATTGAAAGAAATTTCAACCCGATGAATAGTAGCACTTTCGTCTTATTTGGTAAATATTGTCTAATTATGGACCAACTAAGCTCAAAAGATTCATCTCGTGATTTCCAACTAAACTATGCAATTAGTTATTTTTTTTACCTACATTTAATGTTCCATGCAAACGGCTAAAAATTGATGTGATAGAGAGAGAGTGAAAAAACTTGGAATTTTGAGGGTAACTAAACAAGGCCTTGATAGGGCACATATGTAATTTTATTGTGACTTTGGTTTCCTCCATCCATCGTATAAGTTCTTCATCTTACTATCTACTCGGCTCGTCCCCTGTTCTAAAATAAGTGTCACTATATAGTATTTGTGCTGGTCAAATTTTCTTAAGTTTTGATTAGATTTATAGAAAATATTAACAACGTTTGTATCTTCAAATAAAATTATTATTAAAATAGATTAAGTATATCTAATGATACTAATTATGTATTATAAATATTAATATATTTTTGTATATATTGATCCAAGTTAAAAGGGTTTGATTGCTCAGGAAACGAGCACGAAACTTATTTTAGAACGGAGGGAATACACTTATATATTTATTCACAATTTCACACCACTTTAGCCGTCATCTTTAATTGTATGTATATTTTAAAAATGTCATAGTTCTTCAAAAAAGCAAGATAACATTATGAATTGAAGTAAACAAATACAATACACACCATTCATTCCTTGGACCCTTGTGGGACAAATTTATCAATTATCATACAGTTTCTTAAGCCTTCATAAACGCTTTAGAAGTCTTCATTCAACATATGCGAACAAATTCCGGTCAATATAGTATATCATGTTACTGTCTATCCAATTATGTTTTTGAAAGTCTAGAATCAACATCTATGGGCCTGTTTGGTATAACTTATAAGCTGCTTATAGCTCAAAAATAAGCTGAAATCAACAATCAAACGCCACGTTTTTCAGCAGCTTATTCTGACCATGCTTATTCCCACAGCTCTTATTTGTACTAAAAAGCAGAAGCTAGATCGGACCAGCTTATTTTGACCACCGCTTTTACTCTATTTGTATAGCTTATCTGAAAAGCACTTTCCAGATAAGCTGTACCAAACAGGGCCTATGTCATCCTCTTATCAAGTTTAATATGTGGGTTTTTTTCAACCCGGCTCTCTCTAGTTTCAACACTAATCCTCGACACATCTCGTTCCCGAAAAGAATCTTAAACATATCTATCTTAATAAAATATATTTTCATCCTAGCATGTAGCCTCCTATGTTGTATGATACTCTCTCTATTGTAAACTATAGGTTGTTCTGGCTTTTTTAGTATAGAACTTACTATCTAGATACATAGTAAAAGTAATGTATCTAGAAAAACTAAAATTTCAAATAGAGGGAGTATGTGTCGGTACGGGACCCACAAGATACCCCGCAAGGAAGAGAGAAGATCTAATCTAACTAGGATTCTCCCCATATAATCTTAGTAGTAGTATTATTCTGTAATCCTACTAGGAACTCTCATTGTAAACCGATTAAGATTATGACATCATGACTATATAAAGGAGGACAGGATCCTAGACATCAGGACTTGGACAACACAACAACACACAATCAATACAACGCAGAGGCTAACGCCGACTGGACGTAGGGCTATTACTCGATCAACGATCGAGGGCCCAACCAAGATAAATCGACTGTCTCTTGCGTTCACCGTCGAGTTCCGCATACACCGAAGCCCAAACATACTGTCCCGGGTAACCCCGTGACAGGCTATCGGTGGTAAAACATCGACAGCTGGCGCGCTAGGTAGGGGCTTTCGACGAATTTGCATCCGAGAGCTCAATGGACCTGGACAACATGATCTTCTCAACGGGATCAACTTTCATCTTCGGCTCATGGATCTGCGAGGCGAACGACAATGGCAAGCTTCAAAGCCGTCTCCTCGAAGATTCGAATCACTATGAAGACTATTCTATTTCAGCAACTACGACAGATCAAATCTCCAGAAGATTGGCGCAGCTCATGATGTCCGATCCAACTCAGGTTTCGTGGCTTTGCGCATCCGACTCGAACTTAGGCTCCGCATCCGAGATAGAGTCTTATCCGAGTTCTTTCGAGAAACCGAGTTCTTTTCTAGTGGGGCTTAAGAACGCGGCCCTGACCTATCAAGAATACAACTCGGAGTACACGTAGAATCTTTTCAAGAAGTCGGATCCTTTTCTACTCGGATTCCACAACATGGCAACATCTTATCAGACACGGCCCGGAGGATTCCTCGATCCGGTGCTTAGAATGCCACTGAAGGGAGCTCAGGAAGGTCTCGTACTAACTATAACATCTCAAGACTACATCATCCACTGGCCGGGCTCTGTTCCTGAGGATAGCAGTACTTGACCGGTCGACACGATGACAACAACAATTCTACCCTACCAAGAAGGAGACTCAATCTGCGACCTCGAGGCCTCTACTAAAGTTATCAGCAACTCCGACAGTGTGGAAACTAATGCCAATAACAGAACAGTTTACGCATGGGAAGTACTCATGGTTCGCCGTCCTCGATCACCATTGGTTCCCCCAGAAGCACCCGATGTCAGGTCATTGGATGAATCAGAATCCAATATATCGCCCTTTGCCTAGGGCTATGATGGTGAGACCGAGAATTAGAAACAAGCTAGAGAAAGAAAAAATAAGTTGAAGCAAGGACGCCAACACCGTGCTAGGCAGTGCAAAGGAAGCTTAGATCAGATATGAGTCAGAGTTGACCGAATACGATAGAAGAAAATCACAATGAGAAGTCAAAGAAAGACACACGGCAAATACACCCTACGATAAGATTCGAGAAGCATTAGAAGAACTCAGAGCGACCTCACATCCCAGCGAAAAAAGCAAGAACAGCTCCAGGATTTTCTCCGGTCAGCAGCCCTGAGGACGCATGAAGAAAGGATCCACTCAAGACTACCCGCTAGATCAACGACCCATAGGCAAGAAGATCAAAATCAAAGAAAATCTGCTTTCAAGAGACTTGGACCAAGTGGAAATCATAACAGAGAAAGTAGAAGGGACCATAGTCAGAGCCACCGAGTTGAACAACCAAGAAAGACCAGAAGCAGGGCGCCTGCCCAGGCAGCCTCGTAGGATTACTCTCATCAAAACAACAGTTGGCCAGAAGGAGGTGCCGAATCGGAATTTAAAGAAGCTGGAACGCACGATAGATTCCCCTATTTTACAAACAGACTTGCGTCAATACGACTACCTCACAAGTTCAAACCGTCCAACCACTCTAAGTATGATGGCAAGACTGAACCAAGGCAGTGGCTCAAGATATATTCACAATCGATTGAACTAGCCGGAGGAGACGATGATATCAAGACCCTGTTCTTTCCCATGGCCCTAGAAACCATGCCTCTCAATGGTTCGACAAATTGAATCCAGGATCAATCAGAAATTGGGAGGACTTGCAAAGAGCTTTCTGTGAAAATTTCGCAGGGATCATTACACACCCAATCACCCACGCGGAGTTAAAAGGACTCAAGCAGAGGGGAGGTGAAAGTCTCAGAGATTACTATCGACGATTCGGCGAACTACGAGCTCAAGTACGTGACATCACCGAACGAGAAGTAATTGAAGCTTTCTCTCATAGAATCATGGCTAGGTGGCAATTTCAAGACTTCTGCAAAGAAAATCCGAGAAACAATGAAGAATTCAGACGAACAGTAAAAAAGATGATTACTGCGGAAGAGAAGACACGAGAGAGGTTCCCGGATAGAAGCAACTGAGACAACCCGGACAAGCAAAATCATCGAAATAGCAGACATCAGGAAAGGAAACGCAGACCAGACAACACCATGGCAACGGCTGACAAATCAAGGAAGTTTTCTAAACCCAGAAGA